CGGTTTCAAGGGAAACCGATGCAAATCAGGTTTGATATAGATCATAAACCGGAACACAATACGACCCCTAGTTTCCTTCCCTTGGCATGCACGAGCCATTAAGTGTCATTAATGTCATTTCGTGCATGTCCATTGCGCTGAGACACAAATAATCCAACGTCAATCAATTTGAAGCATTCATGGTCGATAATAATTGATTTGTGTTTGATCCGTTGTAAACGTTGTGGGTTTGAGTCCGAGACTAACCATGAGAACCTTGCTTGGTTGCCAGGACGTAGTCCGTTAACAGGAATCGCTTTACTGGTGCGTTACTACAGGAACAACGTTGAAAATGGCTTATCTTTTCGCGAACACCTGGAATCATTAGTGTTTGATAGTAATTGGTAAACCCATTCTCATGACACAGTTGTATTCGTACAGTGGACCTTGGGGCGATAGGGTGGACTATTTTTTAAAGCGTTCGAAGACCCGGCTTCGATTCCCCACATGGATGCAATTAGTGAAGCCGATTTCCCGAGTCCCCTCCGTAATATTGCTGGAATATTGCTAAAAGCAGCTTAAAACCGAATTCACGCACTCACATTGGACTCACGTTTAGCAAAGATTTCATCGATTATTTATTTAGATAACCAACCAACTTTGTTAAAGCGCTCGAAGACCCGGGTTCGATTCCTCACATGGGTACAATGTGAGAAGACCATTTCTAGTGTACCCCGCCGTGATATTACTGGAATATTGGTAAAAGCGGTGTAAAAACCACTCATTCACATTGGATTATTTATTTATAAAACCACTTGAAAGACCCCTGTAAAATTCGCTGGTCTTCGGTAAGGGGTGAGAAGAATGATACGAAGTGTGTCAAGAAACATTAGTTCCCTTTGAGGAATTGATATGAGAGGGTTTGTTGTAACATCGCCTTGAACTGTTGCTTTACGGTGTTCAAGTAACATCACGGCGTGCTTGGTGTTAGAGGGAAGGCCGAGGAGGCGCAGATCTCAGACGTTTTCCAGTTTGCTGAAAGCATGATTCCTGTTATAGTGCTGGCACACATAAAAACATCCCCGAAGTCTACCGACGTTAAACCCCAAATCATTAGGTTTCAGACATACCCAAGGGACGCAACAGCAAATTGCGGCGTCTGAGACGACTGAGTCATCTGTGCCCGAACGATCCGACACGAGTGAAATACAGACGAGAGCGGAAAACATTCACATCACATTCACATTTCTACATTTCTACTGACCGTCAATTAACCAGAAAGATTATTACTTTCTGTTGAGCAATGTAATAACGCTGATGCCGTCTTTGTAAATTAATCTCTCTCTTTAATCGTTGATGAATCGGGACAATATTGTGCCCTTTTCAAGAATACCTATCGATAATGCAGTTAAGGCCATGACAGCAATTTATGTCGCCTGTATGGAAGGACTACTGTGACCTCTGAGCAGCAAGGTTACAACCCGGACTCGGATGATTCAGGGCAACTCCAGATCAGAGAGAGGGAGAGGCAAAGACATCAAAGTACATCTGTCGAACTGTTAATTAAGAATACCCTGTCAGCTGGTGATGGGACTGACATTAAAGTTTTGGATTGTCAAGCTTAGATGTGTCTTAGGTCGTCATGTAAATATGTCCTTAAAGTGTCAGACGTTGGTGAAACCTTACGTTCAGGGAATAACAGTGAATCAATATTTCTTACAAATATTCAGATGGCTCAGTCGCCCAAGGCATGCTCGCGATCTCCGTTACCTTTGTGCGTCATTGTTCTCGAGCCTTGGGTTCGTATGTCAGAATCGGCCAGATTATTATTATCAAATGCTCGTCAACATCATACCCGTGATTGTCAACAAGGAGATTAACTTGCAGATCTGTTGTGGGCATTTCACTATTGTTCTGGAAAACCTTCTGACGCATTTACTAATCATGACACGTGGTTTGTAACATGTAACATGGGTTATGTGGAGGACGAATATAATTTCTTGTTAATTCGTAATGCATATTTTAACTTCGGCTGCAACGAATATGTCTCTCTTTCTCTCTCGAATTCAATATGTCTCTCTCTCTCTCTCTATATATATATATATATATATATATATATATATATAGTAACGAATACGAATATGTATTCGGGAATGCTTTTTGTTACTATCAAGGATTTGAAATAACAAAGATTTCATGTAATTGCTTAGGTTAGAACATTTGAATAATTTCTGTGAAGTGAAAGAGCAATACAATTGCGAAATATGCTGCTTAAGGACACTGCCGTTAGGGGAAATTTCAAAATGTCAGAAATTACGTCATTACATTGCTTGGATATATTTCATTTTACGCCTCTCACTTAGATAAACAACAATCTAGTTTAAAGTCAAACACGTTCTTTAACATATTCGTAAAACTCCGAGCATAAATAATGGGTTGAATTCATGAAGGGGTAGGGTTCATTTACTCGAATACGCGAGTAGAACGTAACAGGACGAATGGTAACCATCGCCAGAAGCATATTTCAGAAACGTTTCATGTCCGTTTCACATTATCTCAGATTGACATTCTAATTTACAAATACAGACACGTTTTTGCATCACGCAATCAACAACCCCTTGGCTATGCTGTTTTCTGTCAACTTTCAGTTGCTACATAGGTCGAAGGCCTACATGAGTAATGAATAAAGAATTAGACTCGTCCTTGACAGCATGATGCCCGGCGGTATTCTGTTACCCCTTTTGGAAACTTTTTCATCCATACTTCCCTATTCATACTTGCTTCTTCCTGTTTTTTATTTATTCAGGAAAGCCGTGAGTGGCAAGGGGGCGGTGGGGTAGCCTTGTGGTTAAAGCGTTGGCTCGTCACGCCGAAGACCCAGGTTCGAATCCCCACATGGGTACAATGTGTGAAGCCCATTTCTGGTGTCCCCCGCCGTGATGTTGCTGGAATATTGCTAAAAGCGGCGTAAAACCAAACTCAGTCAGTCAGTCGTGAGTGGCAAGAAGGCCCTCGCTTCTTACAACAAGCTGGTGTTACTGAAGACCGATTTAATCCAAGGGTCCGATAAATTCAGACCGTCTTCGTATGGGAGGAGTGTTGCAGGGTGAGGCGTTCGACGACAATCAAGCACCTATTTTGAAACTTGTACCGTTCGAGCAGGACACGCTTATACTATCCCCTAACACCTGGTGTCGTCACTGATTTCTTAGTGATGCACTCATAAAATGTGCATAGCTATTTTTTCCTTTTACGCCTTATGGCATCTGTTTCGGACCCGTGAAGACTAACGGGATCGGGTGGTCAGGTTCACTGACTTGGTTGGCACATGTCATCGTATCCCAACTGCGAAAATTAATGCTCATGCTGTTGATCACTGGATTGTCTGATCCAGACTCAATTATTTACAGACCGCCGTCAAATAGATTGAATATTGCGAATGGTGAAACAAAACTCACTCACTCACTGTTTCGGCTGTTCACAGCGATATACAACTCAACTCACTCTTTCACTCACGTAGTGTTAAGCAAAAGATTTCGTGCTGATTCGTTTCTGCCATAAAATGCGGTAGAACGTTTTTCTGTATTTTGATTTCTCTGGTTCTTCTAAGCAATATTAGCATTTAGACAAGGTTCATTACAATATATACAATTATACCTTACATACTTCATCCGATTCTTGTTCAAAAGTTGTTTGATCAAGGCTGCACCATGCAGTCCTCGATGCTTTCAAGTTTTATGGTAGAAGGAAAATTTGAAGTATCGGTAACAGAAGGATTGTGTCATGCAATACCCTGTTTAAACTTGCACCATAGGGAATCGTATTTTGTTCGATGAACAATTGCCTGATGGACATTGTGACAGTCAATTTGGAAAATCTAAAATTCAACAACAAACGCATCACAGTGGTGGACGCTTGGCATGCAAACTGAAGTGACTAAACCGTTTCCAGAATCACAAAAAATCCTTTCCATTGTTTAAATCCGACTATATGAGAAACATGTGGTTCTGGATCAATATCAAACAGTGGTAATAGAGATGTTCGCGAAGAAGTGAGCGCATCCTGCCCCAAACACGGTCCTGTCACAAACACGCGAAGGCATGTCAAAACCGGCATCTACACTGGCAACGCCAGCGGTTCCAGAATTACCTCTCACTTGAAGGTCCTGGACGTTTGGGCAACTTGTATTCCCAGAATCATATGTTTGCTAATTGGGCTGACGACAATGCTGTCATACCTTGGTCTCTCAGCACCTCATCCAAGCCCCTCGTAGATCATAACATTGAATGTTCCATCCTGCTTTATTCTAAACTGAAAAATACCTTAAAGAATATTGCAGCCACTCACTCGTTTGGAGGTGAGATGAGGTCAAATTGGGTTTAACGTCGTGCTTGAGAATATTTCGCTCATATGATGACATGCATGCGTGTGTATGTGTATGTGCGGCTTCTTGTACTAGCCCAGACTGAAGCTGGTTTTATAGTGCTAGCCCACTGAGATACCATGCCGCAGTGAAGCATGAATACCCCACTAGACACATTATACTGACTCCGAGCCGATCAGTCCTTGTTGTACCCATTCATGCCGAGCGCCGGGCAGGGACCAGCAAGTACCATATTTCAACGTCTTTTGGTATGACTCAGTCGGGGATCGAACCCGCGACCTTCCGGTCTCCGGGCGGACGCTCTAACCACTACACCACGGAGGCGGTCCACTCGTTTGAGCATCTCGTGCTGTGAGTCCTGTTTTCACTATTTGTCGAACATATAGATGTGTGTCCATTCCTTAGAAAAACACGGGTTAGTCTTGGACTTCAGCAACCCATGCTTGTCGTGAGAGGCGACTAACAGGATCAGGTGATGAGACTATCTCTACTACGTATATCGATGCTCATGCTGTTGATCACTGGATTGTATGGTCCAGATTTGATTATTTACAGACCAGCCGCCATATAGTTGGGATACTGCTGAGTACTGCGTTAAACAAGAAACAAACTAAACAAACCTTAGAAAAAACGTACATATTCTTCGAAATGTTTTATTTTCCATTTGACTTATATACAGTAACAATATGTAAAAAGCACATGTTCAACAAATTTCATAACGATGCTGATATACAGAGACAATGAACAAGAAAAAATTGGGAAAACAATTTGCACCCAAACAATTCCTGACCAACAACCCTCAAGTCTGAACACCATCAGTGTCAATGTACATTATAAATCCACTGTTTACTGGACATCCTTCTATTCAATGTATAGTTTCGGACAAATTGGTTTTGTAGTCCCGGGGTCCGTGGGGTAGCCTAGTGGATAAAGAATTCACTCGTCACCCGGATGAATTGTGTTCGATTCCCCACATGGGTACACCGTGTGATGCCCATTTCTGGAGTTCTCCGCCGTGATATTGCTGGAAGATTGCTAAAAGCGGTGTAAAACTTAACTCACGCACTTTGTAATCCCAACGCGATCTCCATTGTCACTGATAAATACTCCTGTTCTCTCGAACTTTGCATAACTCGATAAAATTTTGTCCCTTGGACTATTGAGTTGAAGACGTTTTATCCATCGCGATAATTGGTTGCAAATGTTTACAAATGTTACATTTTAAACATATATAACGAAAATATTTGAAAAATATAATTTTGGGACAGGTTACGAAAGGGAAATGTCTATATGTTAACGCATGAATATGTTAAGAATGTATTGTAATAATCTTGTATCTTTTCAATAGATACTCCACAAAGTCAAAAAATAATTTCCAGTTCAGTAAACCTGAACGAAACCATGTTTACGCCTGTATGCTTTTGTTGTTAAGCTAAACACACTCTAATATTAAAACCCACATAGTCCATTCTTACAGGTACACGAACACAGAATTACTATCAGGTCAAGAAGTCGTTATTACAAAGCCCCAGGGCTTAACAGCGAGATGAGGCTTAATGGAAGCATTGTCACCATGCCATACTGAATTAACATCCAACGCCCACTTTGCTGTATATAATTATAAGGACAATATGCTTGCGTGCTTGAGGAAAGTAAAGTGTGTCGTGAATGTGTCCCAAGGCAACCATATATAAATTATTAAAAAGGAGAACGGTTGTATACAAACCGAAACAAAACACTAACGGTCGGCACAAAAAAGCATTTAGTGTGTTAGCTTCGTGCAAAGTGTTTTTGATTATAGCTTTAGGCAGTGACGTGATCCTAAAGACAGCGACAGAGAGTAAGCTAAGAATCAATTGTTATGAATTTCAGATTCTCATTGAAATGAGTGTATTACTTGGGTTTATTAATCCTATTAATCTTGGCGACACTTATGGTCCAGTCCGTCAAACACATTTGCAGAGTTGTTTCCCTTAGTGAGTCAGGATAAGATGAGATGATTATGATCCTTTCTGCCACCACCATAACCCTTGTAGGTTTCACGATAACCGGGAACACTCAGGACCTCTGCTTTGTATACCATGACATTAATCTTACACATCGTGACACCACACTGATGCTGTCTAAAGTAACAATCCGTCTTCACAAACCAGTACTTGTCGTGAGATGAGACTAACGTAGTAGATGGTCATGCTCGCTGACTTGGTCGACACATGCCGTCGTATCCCCGGTTGCGTTGATGTGTGCTCATGATATCAATCACTCGATGATCTGAACCAGACGCAAATATTTACAGACCGCAGTCACATAGCTGGAATATTGCCGATTGCGGCGTTAAGCAACAAAGAAACATATCAACGGGCACTAATCCAACTCGCTTACACACCCCTCTCAGAACAAGTCTCCAGAATATCAAACCACTGGTCCGCCATGACAGTATGGCAAATCTGTGGTAAAATACACATGTTTGGGGTCACTAAACAAATCTGATCTAAATACTTCTATTTCAAAACTGAACTTTTAACTGACTTGCCACACCGTCATGTGGGGTTGCCTTGGTACTCTGGTATATATATATATATAACAAGAAACGGTATCACAGTGTATTGTCAAAATTATTTACAGTCAAACACTCCCTGTGTCGAAGTTGACGGGACCTACATAACACTTCGAGTTATCCGAGATAAGATACAACCACAAAGGGATAACCAATCACCGTATACGTGGGACCAAGCTTTTTACTTCCAGACATCCGTATTTGGACACATCAAAGTTCGACCCAACGGTGTTCGACTTTACAAATGGTAGGGAAAGCACACATCATACAAACGGACTATAACAAGTAAGGAATTATCAACTATAATGATAACCATCATCACAATATTCTGGAACGTGACGCCCTGCTATCACAGTAAGAGATAGTTCTTTGGGACAGTAAAGCAAATACATCAAATGGACGTCTTGACCGATTGGAAACATAACGTAATGCAGTAAACTACGGTTATGCCGAATTCAAAGGGACATAACCGTACGGCTAAAATGTACAAGTGGCCTGGAACAAAACATATAGTTCGTTATAGCCGTCAGTTCGTTACGTGTTCGTTACAAACATGTACGTGTCAGTGATGATTATGTCTTCCAGTAATACTAGAAGAAAACATCTTTGCCAAATTACGTAACTGCATGTCCATTTATATATGTACTTACGTTAAGGTATGTAAATTAAGAAATTTATAATACTTGACAAATATTTAAAACATGTAAATTAAATTTACAACCACTCTTTACGCAGGTAAATCTTTAAATTGAATTTACAACTGTTTACATGTCTGTCGACATGCAATGGTAAATTTTATGCCATATTTACAACACGTGTTTGTGCTTACGAATACGGTATTTGCACGCATGCAGGTCGAGCGTAAGTTCGGGAGATACACAGGATGTCAGTTGTGCAGAGTTGGAAGGTTGGCTGGTCTTGGACAGAATCGCAACAACTGTTCTGCTTGATCTATAAATAACATATCCCAGCTTGTAGGTTTTAATAAACTGTAACTACCTCAGGTCGATTTGAATCTGGTCCATTTTTACATGGAACACCGTGAAATACTGATAAAAGAAGCAGAATCAGCACTATATTAGTCAAAGAATCTGTTCACGATTGCGTGTATTTCTCGTTCTCTACAAATGGGGTTGTGTATTCCTAATCGATTCCAATCACATTCATTGACGGATATAATTCCTTTGCAAAGTGTTGTCAATATTTCACTAGGTTTTGCAAACTCGAACTCTGTTTTGGAAGTAAATTCGATGTCCTTTAGGTCTAATATTGCTGCTCCGTTTGTCCCGAACTATTGTCGTATCCAACGACTTAACCGGTAAAATATGTTTCACTGTACTTGGAAATGTAACTGATTAGGATGATGTCTTGATATGTAGGAGTAAGTCTTCTGGGTAGAGAACGGTCACATCAGATCACTGTCCAGGAAACCTCAATTGCCCGGACTCCAGGCAACAGCCGCCGCCTACATAAGCGGTATTAGTTAATCCGGACATGTATTTATCCGGACATGTATTTATCCGGACGAGTTCCCACCAAACGATTGTTCCGATTATCGGGGTTCGTCTGTACAAGGGAAATATTGGTAACACAGGGACTGGGCACAGGGGACGAATATTTCGAAACGTCACAAGGCAACAACGAGAAACTGATATGGTTTTGGTGAGTCTTTTGCTCAGTGGAATATCATAAATCCGATACACCAACATTACTCAGTGACACTTCCGGTTGACGACAGGGACGCTGAAATATAAAATTATACAATAAATAATCTTAAAAGCTGTATTTGCATTTTGCCACGTCATACACCGGAAATGACACTGAGCAATGCGCCATATTTGTTACATCACCCATCCCTGGTCCGCCTTAGTCAAGTCATGCGCAGAATCAATGCTGTATTTGACCGCTCTGAGTCAGCGTTGTGAATGCCGTTTGATGTCGTGTGTTTGGCATTGGGCATGACGGCCATCTTTAACAAGTCCATTAGTGTTCTCCTGAAGTCCCGACTCATAGCACAGTACAACACAAAGTTCACACCGTTGTTTATAAGCGCTACCATATCCATCAAATCACCAAGCGGAATGTAAACATTTCTGAAAAATCCTCTGGACGTAACACTCATGATGATGAGAATTCCTTGTGGAAACTCTGTGATCAGGAAAAGGACAATCACAATCAGCAGCATCCGGGTCGTTCGTGAGTTGTCCAGGGGGCGCTGCATCGTGGTGGAAGTGCAGGAAAGTCGTCTGCGTTTGTGACGCAGCTTCGACTTCAGCGTCCAGACGAGCAGGCCGCCATAGACTACCATCAATATACATGGCAGCAGCTTCGCCAACAGACTGTACATCCACAAATTCAAAAGCACAACCGGTTTAACGTCCGACGTACCTAATCCGAGGTTTTGAAAATGGTATACGGTTTCGTTGTTTTCAGTCAAAGTAAAAGTTAGCTTGTTCGTCATATAGTTCGGGGTAAGGCCTACGGCGGATAGTACATAGATCATTACGACAGCGATTCTGGCGCGGACGAGCCGTCGTATACGAGTTATCGCCCCTTTGGCAGGAGAATATATGTGTTTGTATCTGAAAATAGCTAGAGTTACACCAAGCCAGATTGAAACTGTGTGGGTAGCGGCGGAAAAGTTGATGTGGAACAAAATGAACTGCATCCATACCTTGCTGTTCTTCTCTGGGGATACCTGCCAGGGTGGATACACACAGTAAAAGTGAATCGCGAAGGGGACGTATGACGTCATTGTAAGTAGATCCGACACAGCTAGCCATGTAAGGATACAGTTAATAGGCGTGCGCATATGCTTCTGGGATAGGACTGTGATGTTGATGAGGTTCATTGGGATCCCAAACACACAGACGAGGATGCTGAGGTAACCATGGACACCCGTGTACCACTTGTAAAAGGAGGCAAGGGTTTCACTCTTGTATGGCTCGTACTCGGTCAGGTTCGACTCCATCCTGGCTCAATCAAACCACTCACGTGCTCTCTGAAAGAATCAGTGACACATTATTTTCACTTGTGAATCAAGTCACATACAAATAACATAAATAAAAGCGACAAAAGACGATTGTATAATGAGTATATCATGAGTACGTGTATATTTCAGCAGTATTACAGTTGTACGATGTTGTTTGCAAACAATCGAGGCTGGACCAGAGTCCAGTGATTGTCTCCATGCAATACGATGACAGAGCATGTCTTTATGAGTCACTACGTTCGCGAAAATTTGAGCGTATCCTGCCCATCAGGTGACAACCGTCATAAACATAAGTCTAGTCAATTGTTCACCTGAAATAATTCGGGAACGTATGTTACATGCCAAAATCATTAGTTTTGTCACTGATGCATCAAATTTGGAAATTTCCTCCACATGTCTATCATAATACCTTTTGAAAGCTTTACTGAGGCCTTGAATGTTGTAACATTAATCGACAACTTCTGAGCAAGAGAAGTATGACGCTCTTTGAATTCTTGATAAAAAGACACACTCGATGACTGTTTTTGTCTGCATGTTCAGCACTGAAAAGTTCACGCGCTCTACAATATTGATGTCGTTATGCAGACACAAATTCATCATTGTGAAATAATGTGAAATGACGTCAGGAATGACGTCGTGGCCCAGATTTCGGACACTTCTTCCTTGAAGCTGATAACATACTTAATTGATGTTCCTCTACCGTCGTTAAATAACAATTAATTTTTTCTCAGTTTAAACGATTTCCTTCCTTGTTGAGAACGAGAATTTCATGAATAATGCAGTATGAGATAGTACTGGTAGGATCTATTACACAGAAATGGGAGTTATTAAGTAGGGACGAACTGGAATGTCAAGACAATTAACTATTTACAGTCCAATCCCATTTGTAAAGCTCCAAACTCTGTTTGAAACGGTATGGAATTCCCTTAGCTTCATCTTATTCACGTGTTAAAATCATTACTTCTCGCTTTTAATGACATTTGTTTAAGACATACTTTAAAAAATGCCTTAGCTTCATCTTATTCACATGTTAAAATCATTACTTCTCGCTTTTAATGACATTTGTTTAAGACATACTTTAAAAAATGCCTTAGCTTCATCTTATTCACATGTTAAAAACATTTGTTTAAGACATACTTTAAAAAATGCCTTAACTTCATCTTATTCACATGTTAAAATCATTACTTCTCGCTTTTAATGACGATTTTTAAGACATACTTAAAAAATCCATTAGCTTCATCTTATTCACATGTTAAAATCACACTGACATTTGTATAAGATTTGTAAATCTTTACTTCACGGTTTTAGTGACAATTTGTAAAGACAATTTTTAAAACAATGTCAACAATGTCAATCTTGTCGGGTTCATGGAATTTCCCCACATATTAAATATTTTACGTCAACTCCAGTGAAGAATCAATCGTGATCACTTAACGAAACAATTCGATTGGCCTAATAGGAAAAATATCATATGAATTGATACCGAGAAGCCGGTTATACGCGCACAAGGTAATCCCGCCCTGTCGGAAACCAGAGGAGTGGTAAGTCTTCTGTCTGCAAGCTGCTCTAATGTAAAGCCCAGAGGGATTCTGGGTAAAACTATAGATCCCCGGTAAACCCACAAGTGGCGACTTAATAGCTGACGATCGCAACATCGCGTGATTGCTTGTCATCGTGCATGAATACGTGGACAGGTTGCTGCAATACCAATCACTTGATTTTCTGCTCCAGACTCCATTATTTACGGGTCACCACCTCATAGCTGGAATATTGCCGACAACGGATTTTTTATACGAAACAAATACTAACATGTGTTTGTGATTTAAAAAACACAGATCTCTGACTTAAATTCATGCTTCACCACTGGTGTGTTTTGCGATGTCATTAGGGGGTAGGCTAGTGGTTAAAGCGTTCGCTCGTCACTCCGAAGACCCGGGTTGGATTCCCCACATAGCTATAGGTACAATGTGTGAAGCCCATTTTTTGTGTACCCCGCCGTGATATTGCTTGAATATTTCTAAAATCATCGTAAAACCAAACTCACTCATTATATGTTTTCTATTTAGTCATCTGTTTAATAAATTTCGCAATGCGATTGTATTTCCAAAGATGTTTACTAAAACAGTCCCTTCTATTAATAATTTACGCCAAATAACATTGAATTAGTGTGTCCTTTTATAACTGCTTCCAGGAAACATGCGAGACTCCCTTGTCTGTTTCTTATTCAGATCTGTGCATAAAGACGTGGGTAACTAAAACTCTCTACAATTGTGTTTGACTACAAGGAGGATGACTGCAACTTTCTAATGATGTTCTCCGGCACAAATTCAGCATGAAAACCCTTTAAGTCTTCGTTTCTCAACTTTTGAATTCAGTTGATCATGCTCTTTCTACGAAGATGCCAAAGAGCGTCATACGGTTCTTGAACTAAGGTTGTTTGGTCAAAGTTGCATCATTCAAAGCCTCACGAAGTCTTCAGAATGTTTTGTGGTTAACACGTGGAGACTATTTTTATATGTCACCAGTGACAAAATGATGTCGCAAGCAATTTCCTGTTTTGACTTGTACAATACGTTCTCATGTGAATAAATGACGTGACCTTGCATGTTTGTGTGACGTTAACCACCGTTGGGACAGGATACGCTCATCTAGGTTGGGGGCCTCACTTACATACGTAATTTATAGCTGAATACACAGCTGAGGGTTGGAAGTTGCCGGTAATAAACAAATTCCTGCTGCTGCTCCAAACCGATGATTGGTCTGTATTTCAACATCAAAGAACTATTATTTTAGGGACCATGTCATTGTGGTGCCACCGGATATTTCCAAAGGGGTTAAAAGCAGGGTTACTATTTGCGAACACCTGATATCATCACAAGATGAGAAGCTTTGCTTGAATTATTCTTCAAGGACTGTTCTGATAAGACACATCGGCGCGTTCAGCTCGGTTGGGTTCGAGATATGAATTGTCTAAATGTCAACAGCGCCATAACGGACAAGGGTATCTATGGTTTTCATTACAACAATAAAGCGCACAAATGCCAGTGTCAAACATTAATGTTGGAACTGATACAAATGGCTTTAATGATTTGGCGAACACTACAAAAAGTATTTTAGAACTGATATTGGAATAATAGTTCTTTTACGACCATGATGAACGTTATTTTGAAGTATAAAACGACGTGTACTTTTAAATGACGTTAACTCAATTAGACGTTAACTCAGTTGGAAGTGCTAAAGTTACTTGACACATCATCCTTGATATGAAAGAGTCATACTCACTCTTGCTTGACAACGATACAAGAATCTGTATCGAAACGTCTCATCTACCGAATAAAGAAGTTGTTTATCCATGAAGTTTGTCTGTATATTACTCTCCAACTTGTAAACAATGCCACTCAAAGAAGTCAGCTTCATTAATGTTTTGTGCGTGTGCGTGCGTGTGTGTGCATTCTATTATCTTTTATTTCATAGTGTGAGCCTGAGTTTCAAATGTTAAATTTCCTGGTATAAAATTAAACCCGTGTTGTTATTTTTGCAGTTTGAGGTAGTTTAACTATATCCAATGTATAAACAAACAGGAATCCGTGTAAATGAGTGATAATCTGGTGTGGATTCCAGATACGAATATAAACTCATCACATTTGATAGGTTTAGACTCACTGTGCCCTCATTCTGTGTGGGTTAGGGGATTAGGGGCTACAGCTCATGGCATTTGTAGTCAACATATGTTTACTTTCTGGTGGCGGTGGTGTAGCTGGTTAGAGGAGGATGGTAGAGGTTAAGGCGTTCGCTCGTCACGCCGAAGACCCGGGTTCGATTCCCCACATGGACACAATGTGTGAAGCCCAACTCACTCACTTTCTGAATATATATATTTTGATAGAAACAAATAATTCCATTAAAACTTAAAACCTGGTTGAGTGAGTGAGTGAGTGAGTATGGTTTTACGCCGCTTTAAGCAATATACCAGCAATATCACAGCGGGGGACACCAGAAATGGGCTCCACACATTGCGCTTATGTACATGTACGCGAGGAAATCTAGAATTGTTTCATTAAGCGCTTTAATTAGTATTTCAGAAAGGACTGGAAGGGGAAATAATGCGGTGCATGTACTGTTGGACAGACAACATTTGTAATGAAATTGGCATGTGGAACTGTTCTCTCAAAGTGAACTCTGTGTAAATAATATCTGATCATACGGTTACCTGTAAGCTGAACACTATTAAAATGAATTTCGTTGAATAAATCCATAAGCTTATTTATTAGTGAGTGACAGGTGCCAGTGTTGACAAGGATATAAACTGCTGGAACTGTTCACACTGGTAATTGTAAAAGGACAGATGTTGAAGTATTTGTGTACGCTAACTACTGCCAGTAGCATCCATCGCAAACACATGGAAAGCCAAATCAATTATTCGCATGAAGTAACGATATGGCTTGACCATTTCAAAAGCGATCAATAAGTAAAATACACCAACATGTTCGATTTGTCAATATTGAGCCAACTTTTGTAAGAAATGTCATTTTATACACAAATAAAAATCAATGCATAACTGTTTATTGTCAACGCACGCAAATAATCTATAAATAATCTATACATGTTCGTATGAAACTTATTGCTTCATCCATGCGTTAATGGCGTGTAAACTGAAGTCAGAACAGAACAGTTTTTATCAATAAAAAAGGACAGAATTGAGTTTCGTCAGATCAACTGTTGACTACAAGAATGATGTTCATGAAAACAATTCCTATTAACTCGAATGGTGATAATCCGAAATCCGAATCCGAAATCCGAAATGCCCACATTAAACTTCTACGACTCCGATAAGGCCAGAGCTTATCGATGAACAACTTCTTTATTGAGGTGATGCGATGTTTCGATACAGATTCTTGTATCATTGTCAAGCAGGTATGATATCACCTTAATAAGGAAGTTGTTCATCCATAAAGTTTGTACTCATCTCTTCAACTTAAAATAATGCCACTCGAAGAAGTTTCTACTGCCCCCCTCCTCCTCCTCCTCCTCCTACCCCCCACTACTACTACTACTACACCGAAACCAGCAGCACCATCAACACTACTAGTACTACCATTACTACTACTACTACTACTGCTACTGTTATTTCTACTACTACTACTGTTATTTAGAACTACTACTACTACTAGTATTACTACTCCTACTATTACTACTACTACTACTACTACTATTCCGACACCAGCAGCACCATCAACACTAGTACTACTACTACCATTACTACTACTACTACTACTACTGCTATTTCTACTACTACCACTACTACTATACTAATTTCAACATAAATAAAAGCGGGAAAACCATTTACATAATCATAGAGAAATCCCTACAAAACCAGAACCGATTGCATGATTCCATCATCAAACATCACATACTTACCGTAATTACAAATACGGTCCATATCTTAGACCAGCACACACTGGTTCAATGGCGAATTATCAAGTAGCTCTGCGAAAATCCGTCTTCACCAACACCCATACAACGTATTCCAACAGGTCTTTACAAACATCCATTAGCTGAGCACTAAATCCAGAGTTCCCGAACAGCCGGCTTCTGTAGCTGTTGCATGTATAGATCCATCTCCTTCCACTGACTGGGAGTTGAGCTGGAGTGTGAGTACTCAGAGCGTATAGGCGCTGCTGGGTTGGTTTTGACCAATGGCAAAGGGCGCCGTTCTTCGATTCGTCTAGTGTTTATCCCTGCCTGTCAATCTGTGGAAAGAGAAGCGTCTTGAGAGATGGCTGGTATTGTTGTGGAGAATGAATGCCAAAATATGCCACGGCCATAACGGTTATAATTAACCAGGACATTAATTAGAACCAGCATTGGTAGGGCTGAATGATAAAGCGTGTTCGCGAACGCTTTTGTCGTCACCATTTTACTCGGATTTGTAAACATGCTTGTTGTATGAATTGAATCGTACAATGGATTATGATTAGGGAAAGAGTTTATAAATTTTCTTTAACAAAAACTGAATACAGTGTAGTTTTCACTGTTATGATGCTTACCTACAAACATATGTAGGCGATACTAATTTTCAATTGTCACTTGCTCTGTGTATGTGGCGGTGCAACGTGTGTACGCGCTGTTACTCCAGGCTTTGCTCCCACATTAAACAGACACCTCAAGCATGTATACCTGAAATGTCACCCAATTACTCACACATCTATGAATCATTTTCACCCGAACCACTCTATGACTATGACTACCGGTAAAGTACTTTCCCAATTTTCTTATTTGACGAATCTTGACAAATTTGCAAAATCGTGTTTTTACTGTTACCAAATGCTTACATGTTTTGTTTTTTTAAGTGGACAGTTAACATGCTCATGCCGTCGGTGGTACTTTCATCTGTTATCACCAGTATTTAGAAAGAGATATGTTAATGTTTATGATGTTTTTTGGGTGGAACAATGGATTATGCCTTTAACAGATATGACCAATGCTTACAGAATGTTTCTACCGCTATCATTACTGATATACTTTTAGTCATAAGCATGTGTTTATGATTTACTTTCAAATAGTGACTGGGGCGGTGGGGTAACCTAGTGGTTAAGGCGTTCGCTCGTCGCGCTGAAGACCCGGGTTCGATTCCCTACATGGGTACAATTTGTGAAGCCCATTCCTGGTGTCCCCTCCGTGATATTGCTGGAATATTGCTAAAAGCGGCGTAAAATCCAACTCACTCACTCAAATAGTGACGGCACCACGTATTCGCGCAATGGTGACCGTATCCTGTCCCACCGGTGGCAAGTATAAAAACACATGCAAAGGCTGGTCAATCCAACACCTCAAAAACAACAACGAGAACTCACGGTACAAGTCAAAATAGGGAAATGCATCGTTTGGTGGTAAGAGAACGTCAGTACAAAAGAAGACCTTGACTATCAATATAAAGAGATTCCTTTTGGTGTACAAGGCAAATATCATTGAAAAATTATATGTCCTCAACCAGGTTTAACCACTGTTTAAACGCCTTGTATATTGTACCATGATCAACAAGAGTCTACCCTTGAAATCTTGGCAAAAAGGACATTGAACATGTAAAGGCTTGGACAGGGACTATTGTTCGACATAGAGGAAATGTCGACTATTAAAATTTGAGTTCATCCCTTTTTTCATATAATCTTACAGAGAGCCTCTCACCCTCTGAATTTTCATTCATTGATCCCAAATGAGTGAGTGAGTTTAGTTTTACGCCGCCAGCAATATCAAGGCGGGGATACCAGAAATGGGCTTCACACATTGTGCCCATGTGGGGAATCGAACCCGGGTCTTCGGAGTGACGAGCGAACGCTTTAACCACTAGGCTACCCCACCGCCCCCGATCCCAGAATGAATCAGATGGGTCTCAACATACGTTTGGGTGGGGTTGTAAAGTCTATATGTTACAGTCAATGTCTACAATCAGGCAAGTGCAACCTTGACTTCTTCAATTAAAGTACTTTTCTGTAGTAATAATAAACAATGTGTCCATTAATATAGCGCCAAACTCCACACTAGGTATGCTCATAGCGCTAACAATCAAGGCACAGCACATTATTACCCCGGATAACCCAAGCTGCCTGTTAGGCGCTAGAAGGTTATAGTCATATGACTTTTTTCCACCGGGTACCCATTTCCCTGCTGGGTGAACATAGACAATTTTGAACAAACTCACTTGCCTAAGGTGAGACCACATGTGTCACATGTGCTTCGTTGTGGGGCAGGACTGAAGTCCTAGAAACTCTCAGGAGTCAAGCTGCCAAACACGGTCACCCATCCAAGGACTCTCCGAGCTCGACGCTGCTTAACTTCACCGATTTGTGACCTGAGCTTTGAGCACAGGACCACGCGCCACCACGAGATTGACTTTGAATCGGATTGTCGTCTACTCAGATGTTCACGAAATGCAGACTCCATGATGATAACAAGAATGAATGTCAAGTCTAGTAAGAAAAATACTTGCATTTTATAGCATTTCTTAGGAAGCTTGTGCTCTAAGGAAGAATCATTTCTAGGGAAGCCTTTGCTTTAAGGAAAACTTTAGACAGTGTACACAATGACTGAGTGAATCAGGCAATGTACACATTGACTGGTTGTTTCATTCATTGTACACATTGCCCGATTGTAGACACTGACTGTAACATATATACTCCCAACACTGGGTAATGTCAATCAAACACCCCTGTGTTAGTGCAGATTAACAATCTCCTGTCACGTTCTTAATGCCTATATATTATCTCATTATCTTGATATATCTAGTCAAAAAATGTTTTTTGTGTTCCCTATCTGAACCTGTCATTTACAATCACCTCTCAAGACTTAATGTACATTAAAAGAGTAATTACTAATTTCCACGGAGGCGGTTGGACACGTGCCCTTTTCCATCACAAAAAAGAACCTCATTATCATTTCACGTTATATCACAATATAAAAATATTTATGATCAATAATTTCTAATTTTCACTTGACATTAATGATTTTTTCATTTTACTGCCATGTAACAGGAAATGTCATGCCAACATTACAGGCGGAAGAGTTTAATTATTACACTTAAGGCTGATGATGTTTTATCCGAAGAATTTGTATGTATGATATTCAGTTGCCATGGCAATTAACGCATTTTCCGATGTGATGAAACCGGATGTCAGGAAGCATGGCATCTAACGTGAATAATTGTCGCCTTTTATATCAGTACGTCAATCATTATGAACGTTAAACATATTTGGGACATTATCGTGATACAGGATGAAGTATAATATTATCCATGTTATCATGGACTATTGATATATATATCCATGTACTGACAATACAGCTGATTTGTTTGTTGTTTAACGCCGCACTCAGCAATATTCCAGCTATATGGCGGCGGTCTGCAAATAATCGAGTCTGGACCATACAATCCAGTGATCAACATCACGAGCAGCGCCCTTCTCAATTAGGATATACGATGACATGTGTCAACCAAGTCAGCGAGATGACCACCCGATCCCGCTAGTCGCCTCTTACGACCAGCATGGGTTACTGAAGACCAGTTCTAACCCGGATCAGGCATCTGTAAATAATCGAGATTGGACCATACAATCCAGTGATCAACATCACGAGCAGCGCCCTTCTCAATTAGGATATACGATGACATGTGTCAACCAAGTCAGCGAGATGACCACCCGATCCCGCTAGTCGCCTCTTACGACCAGCATGGGTTACTGAAGACCAGTTCTAACCCGGATCAGGCATCTGTAAATAATCGAATCTGGACCAGACAATCCAGTGATCAACATCACGAGCAGCGCTCTTCTCAGTTAGATACGATGACATGTCAACCAAGTCAGCGATCCCGCTAGTCGCCTCTTACGACCAGCATGGGTTACTGAAGACCAGTTCTAACCCGGATCAGGCATCTGTAAATAATCGAATCTGGACCAGACAATCCAGTGATCCACATCACGAGCAGCGCTCTTCTCAGTTAGGATACGATGACATGTGTCAACCAAGTCAGCGAGATGACCACCCGATCCCGCTAGTCGCCTCTTACGACAAGCATGGGTTACTGAAGATCAGTTCTAACCCGGATCGGAGTCATGTAGAAGCACTTACTACTAAGCACATTACAAGCAGTAGTACTGGCAAACAAGGATAAGTTGGACCGGCGCAGAGAACGCGTTTACGAGAAGTAGGCGGTGCACGGCAATGAGCAAACCCATTTGGTTTGTGAAAGGTGGAGCAGTTGTAGGCCAGTGCACGTGCAGTGCATGACGATGAAATTGATTCCGCGCGTAGCTGCACACGCCTTGCTCATAAGACTCTCACTTGGTCGGTGTAGCAAGTCGGACAACCTGGGGCCCCTTCGCTCACAATGGCAAGCGCCAGTGGGCGGCACTCATACATGCTAATACGGGTCAATTGTCAGGTCGGTGCTCAACTTATCCTTGTTTGCCAGTAGTACTCTATGTGGTTTCGTATTTGCGACAAATCGTTTCCTTCCGTGATAACGATGCTGCCTCTACCTGTAAACAAACCAAATTAAGGAGCTATTTAGGATTAACCACTCCTTAAAAAGTTCCATCACAACCTTTAAACGCTATATGGCGGCGGTCTGTAAATAATCGGATTTGGACAAGACAATCCAGGGATCAACAGCTTGAGCATTGATCTACGCAATTGGGATACGATGACATGTGTCAACCAAGTCAGCGAGCCTGACCACCTGATCCCGTTAGTCGCCTTTTACGACAATCATGGGTTACTGGAGGTAACTCGGATCCTCACGGGTAACCTTTAAACAGAACGTTTGAAATCAGGAAGTTCTTACTGGTAGCACTGATCATGTTCACAGGAAATTTAAAACTGCTGTAAAAATAAATGTGAAGTTTTATGGGCCTTATTTAAACAGATTATAGTGCATGAAGTGGTCTTTGAGAGTGTTTGTGTAAAAATGGGGAAAAAGATCGCTCACTGTGATGCGTGCTTTTTCAAGCTAAATGTATTGCATGCTTTTCAACTATCCTTTATAATCTGCTGATAAGGGCATCAGCAAATGAAGATATAAGTGAATGCTGTCAGTTCCCTGGGATTGTCGTGAGGATTGGGATACGATGATTTTCCACTGTGGCATATATGTTTATATGCCAGACATCATATAAAACTCATTACTTAAAGGCCATCTGATATGGTGAGAACAACAAAAATATAATGGAAATCAATAGATTACTAGCGCTCCATGTGATCT